TCATGGAACATAGATGCATTTTATTACACAATGAAAATAGTCTCTGTCTTTATTTTTACTGATTTCAGTCAATTCCATTTTATTCGCAATGTGAAATGGGAATCCTATTAAAGACTCATTAAAAGGGGTGAGGAGTTTTTACAATCCTCCAACAGGTCATCTCCACGATGACGCTGTTTTATTACTACGGCTGAATCCCTCAGGGTTTTATTTTCTTGTGAAAATTAGAGCTTTTGTTATTTAAACTTCGCTGGGACAACCAAATCTATAAAAATGAGAGGAATAGCAATGACGTCATCGTGTAAATGACCTATAAACCGTACATCAAAAGATAAGCACGGTGATCTGTTTAGCTTTTTTTTTTTAGCCAGGCTTAAAATATCTGTAGATTCAAGGAATTATAACCTGTGCGTTGAGAGCATGCCAGAGACCGATTTTTGCATGCCCGGCATTACCCAGTTTATGGCACGCCCGGCATGCCAGAGAATTTGGCATGCCCGGCATGCCAGAAAATTTGGCGCTGGGTATGAATTACTTATTACTAGAACCTAGACTTCTCGCGGCGTAAGTGTGAGAAGGTCACGGAACCTCAAATTATGCTTACAGAGCATGCGAAATTCTGTTGCATGCCAATTTCAATGCAAAACCACTCTGGGGCCACTCCCTCTATTACCAGTGAGCGAATCATTGACGATAGGCGTGGGAAAAATCCTTGCATGCTAACCAACATTGAAAACGTAGCAGAAATGTCCTCAGTTTCGGAGTCATTCCCTAGGGGAGGCTTTAAAGTACAGAATTTCCTGACATGGATTAGGGAATTTTCCGTAAACAGCATGTGATCATGCCGGCTAGGACGTATTGCCTCCGTATTGGCCCTTTTTACAGCTAGCTAGGCTCATTTTTAGGCCCCATGGCCTTAACTGACGAAAAATTCATGCCCTAAATGTAAAAAGTCCAAAAAAGTCCTCGAAATTTTAGTTTCCAAGCCGTTCAAGGCCATTAAACTAGGTTCATGTGACAAATGTCCTGCATTCTGCTGTGTCTGGAATGTTGATACATGTATGAGGCTTTTGTACATGATAATCAATTTTTAGCCTGGTGAATGTGAATGGTACCTTTTGAGCAGAAGAATTGTATCTATAGATGTGGATGAATGTTTATTTTTCTTTATTGTTCTGAATTCAACAGACACCCGTGGAGAAAAGATTAAGAACTTTCAAACAGCATCAACCCTTAAAAAATACCAAAACAGAAGAGAGTAACCACGCGGAAACTGAATCTATTGACAATGAAACTGGGAAATCACTTAGTAAAAATCTGCTGAAAAAGGTAAAACCTGCCACTCTGTCAACTCTTTATAAATAATTCTTCTTAAGCCTGTTTCAAACGTCTAGCGTGCTATTACCGTGCCGAACTCAATTGATAGAATTAATTCGACTTTGGCACGGCAGTGGCGCGACGTTTGAAATCATTCAGTTCAGCAACTTGAATTTAGTTCGACACGGCAATTAAATTCGACAGGGTCTGCTGTGCAACTTGGTAGTGGCACGACTGGGTTTCAAACGTCGCGCTGTTGACGTGCCGAACTCAGTTCATAACTTATGAAAATGTATATGTTTATGTGTTTTGACTCTACTGCGGCTGACTGCGATGTTTTTCTTTATTTTGAATTTGGCGCGACTGAATTAAATTCGACGTTTGAAACCACTGCCTGCTATTGGCGTGCAACTGCCGGGTCAAATTCATATGAGTTCGACACGGCAGTAGCGCGACGTCTGAAACGGGCTTTAGAAATTTCTCTCATTTCCCCTTCCTCCCCTCCTTTCCCACAAACGTCTTCGTTAATTATTTTCAGCCATGCCTTTAGGCTGTAAACGATGTTGGCAAACGGCTCCTAACAACAGACATTGTGAAAGCAACAATTTACTTCTACAGCAATTTATGAATTAAGATTAAAAATTTACGTTGCAACACATCCCAGTATCTTGGCCAGGTATAATCAAGCTGCCCGGTCATAATGGAAGTAACCACTCTCCCCTATCAAGATTGATGAAATCTTTTCTTTGCTATGTCATGCTTTAGTAGCCTCCCACCCAGATGTTCTGATGACTTTGTTACACGTTTGGTGACAAAGCCTGGCTGGGAACGTTTGTGTAGGAGGCTAACGGAAATTTGGTTTTGTTGTCGCTTGAACGGTCTTGAATATAGACGACTTTGAAAATGGGACTGCAAAAATTATCAACAGTTCTTATTTGCAAAGACTTTTTTTTTCTCTCAGACCGAAATTGTTGCTCGCAAGGCCCTTTGCGCTGAACCAATTCTTCGTATTCGTAACGGACGAATAAAGCTGTTCTGTCGCCTAAAAAGTTTTTTGTACAAGTAAAACTTGATTACTAAAGTACCAACATCCTATATATTATCTTGCAACATTTTCCTCAGGTGAGTCTTGACAGAGGAACTTTTCTTTTTGAAGGTATTTTCTTCGAGAGGTCAAAGATGACAGTGAATAAAGGGATGCATCTCATTCTAGTTCCTCGTCGAAGCAAGCACAGGTCAACCAAGTTGATCACAGTTGATACCGACAAAATTGTCGCTTTCAATTGGCAGAATAACTAGTTTATAGGGTAAATTCTAGGAAATTATGACATCACCAGCGAAAAGACAGAAAGAAAACAAATCGTACGAACCTTTTTCACGGCGTGGTCACTGGTGGATGGTCGCACAACTCGTCCACATTCTTGTCGAAAAAATTTATCTCCCCCAAGTTTAAATCCGTAAGAGAATTTAAATGCCACACAGTCGTTTCCTTGTCTTTTTTCGCAATTTCTGGTCCAATTTTAATAGAAAAATGCATATGAAAGAGGTGACAAGCGTCTCCCTGTGACCATATGGAAGTTTTTAATGTTCTTCACAAAAGGAAACAATCATTTAGACTTTGACAGTTTCAAAAAAAGGCCATTAAATACACCTGGTACCCCCCTCGGCCCACCTTGGTTAACATGAAATTGACTAAAAAGAGAAGGCAGCAAAGGCGGCGTTTTCATGGTAAACAATGTCAGACAATGCTATATGCATTTCTTGCATAACGAATTCGGGCTTATCTCATAAAGGATTATAATGCAGTTAGTGTTCATTGATATTTGTTGTTTTCTCACAGTTGATTTTTACACTTAGTTCAGTACGACAACATTTTAACATTGACTTGGTAAAACAGTTTTGCAATAAGCTTGCCAGCTTTTACTCTCTTTTTTTAATTCTGCTATATGTCCCCAGTTGGCTGAATTTAAAAGACCGTGTAACAGAGTTTGAACTTAATTTTTGAGGAAGAATTGTAAAAAAGCAAATCCTATCATTAATCAGTAGAGGAGACTGTAGGAGCAACAATGCTACATGTGTCGTCGGACTCGATAATCAAGCCATTAAAAACTACGGAATATAACTAACAGCTGGATTCCCTTTAGTTATAAACAACTATAGTTTAATTGTTTTTAGATACAATCAAAACCGTAAAGAATTGTGATTAATGCTGATTTCAACATGACGATAAAGCCAGTTATGTGCCTAAGGGCGTCTCCGCCTCTGATTTTGGAATTGCATATAAACAATAGCCTGTCTTGCGGTATAAGTCTTACTGTTTTACCTTAGTAGCAGTTATAAAACAGAACTATGTCGTAAATCAGAATTGAATGATCATGACTGTGGGAAAAATCACGCTACAAAAAAAAGAACATTGAAATGTTGAGATGAGATATTATAACAGAAAGCACAAACTTATTTAATTTAACTGCTTAAATTGGTTCCGCTAAAAGAGGGTTGTCTGACTATTGTTTAGACCGAATACCTTGTTTTCTAAATTGTCAGAAATTATTAGAAGGCTATGGGGAGCGTTCTTTGTTTGCAAACAATGGATTTAACAATGGTATGTATTTTCTTGCGTATCTAACAACTACCCGCAAGCAGAAAGAAAGCATAAATTCAATCAATCTGTTGCAACTATCTGTTGAATAATATGTCCATCAATCACTCACATTACTTTCTAAAATTGTTTGTACCATGGATTGCCACAAACCTTATGCTTCAAAACTCATGAGAACTTTCTATAGTTAGACACTATTAATGTACAATATAGGCTCAGTTATGCTTGTTGTTGCAATCAAAACGTGTATATGGTAGAAAGTAATGAAATTATTAGGTTAGGAGTGACAAACCACCAAGACTAAAAACTGAAAGGAGCAGAGCTGTTCGAGACGAAGGCAGAGGGAAACAATAGCCAAAATGCAAGGCTATGGGAAGGTTATGAAGTCAAACTGAGCGCCGGCCGTCCACCTGTTTTCAAATAACTAACTGACTTAACAGGGATCCTTTTTAATGTAATATTTGATTATGAATTGTTTGCCATACATACGATATAACGACGTTAACCGTAACTAGTATTAATGAAACGATTTATTTCTTACTTGGAAGATGCTTTTTATTTTTAATTTAAATTGGTATGGTTTATAACGACAATAAATCGGAAATTTCTGTTTTTAAAACTGATTTTCACAAAATCATAAACATCAACAAATACTCGGAAGTTTTTCCAAAAGTAAACAATGTAAAATTTAACCCACAGATACAAAATGCCAAAAATCGTTGCACTAATATCCTTCACTGTCTTCACTGCCTATTCCTCTGTTCTGAGACGTCACTGAACAGACATACCTTCTGTTCAGAACGCCTTGTCATGATGTTGCTTCAGGCATCTTTGGGCGTTCCGCGCGAGCAATATTATCTTTATTCCGGTGAATATTAGTTCTATTTTTATACAGTCTACTATTTGTGTATAATATAATATGAATTTGACTGTTGTTGAAAATCGTTCATCCGGGCACGTCGGGTTCGAAACATCATCAAAGATTGTTCTCGCACGATCATGGATTAAGTAACAAGGATTAAACACGAAAACCTTGCGGTGATATTGAGAAGGCAAAATATCTATAACCTTTCGTCATGACGAAATGAGGTCTAAAGGCAACGGAGGTAATAACGGATCTTCTTCTTCGCTCTGTTCGCTCTTGTTACAAGTGCAAAGTGGAAATGACATCAAATTTCAGGATTTTCAATCTTGGTGCGCTTTCCTTTCATTTGCAAATGCTTTCTTTGCAGTGCTTGTCATCCTTGGTAACTCTGTGGTTTTCGCAGCCTTTTATCGATTTGAATCATTGAGAACAGCATCCAACTTTCTCTTGCTAGGTTTGTCGTTTTGTGACTTTTTCGTGGGTCTTGTAACTCAACCTCTGTTGGCTACTGAGATAGGTTTGGTTGCCACGAATTCTGAGATAGCTTGTACTTTCAAAGATTTATACGTTATATTCCTGTTCGCCTTCAACTCCTCATCTATGGTACATATTTGTTTGATCACCATTGAACGTTCCGTTGCCATTTTTTACCCCTTCAAACATCAGCGGTGGATAACGAAGATGAAGATTGTTATTTTATTGGTCTTATTTTGGATTTCTTGGGCACTGATAACTGTTTTCACTCGCCGTAATCACGGAGGGGGGATCATTGGTTACTCACGCATGGCATTTGTAATCGTCAGTGCCACATTTGTTGTTACCATAAACCTTCGGCTGTGGATAGAAGCTAGAAAACATTCGATGCGCATTCACAACGCTCTTCCCCTAACAAGCCTTTCCAACGTTACAAACTCCACTGAAGGAAGCAGAGAAAGTCGTAACTCCGTGGCTAAAGCCGCGCGCGACTCAAAGGCAGCGAAAACAATCTTGCTTATCACAGGTATACTAATTTTATGTAATCTTCCAATCATAGCAACATTTGTAACCCGCAAATTTTACAATGTACGTGGTCGCGTTGTGACTTTGCTTTGGTTTGCTTCAAACACTGTAGTACTTCTGCCCTCTTTTGTAAACCCATTGGTGTATTGCTGGCGAAGAAGGGACATCAGAGTTTCAGTGAAGAGGATGTTTGGTTGTCGCAATGTTGTCGGAGTACAACGGTGAAATATTTCAGGTTATTAGAGGACGACAACTTAGTTGGTGCAACAGATCGATACAAGGACCGATTTAAACACTGAGCAAGAAGTCGCGCGCCTTGTTTGTGTTTGTCACTCTGATTTAGATCAATTAGATCAAAGTTTCCTTTCATCAGTTTTTCTTAGCCTAGAATCCTTTCATACTTACATTCTTAATTCCAGCAAAGTGGATAGAATCTCGAACACCATAAAGGATCAATAAATTGTTTTCAAAAAAAGATTGTTTGCTGGAATTTGATATTCTGATACAAGAGCAATCCAGATGTTTTTCTTCAGTATTGGAGTTAACGTAGTATTCCTGTATCAAATAAAGGACATGCACTTTACAGGTGCTATGTTACGGCTGCTGTCTAAGTGGTTACATTGCCAACGTTAGCGTAAGAATTTCTTGTAAACGACAAAATTACAGTTTCTTGTCCAACAATTATTCTTCACGAGCATTATATCAAACGTTACAAACAACAAAACTCAACTTTGAAAAACGCTTAGGCTAACCCACAATTTCAATCTGTTTCAATCTTCAAGTTTGTCCATCTGTACCTACTTCTGTATTTGCTGTGTTATTAATACTTCTTCAATGTTTTGAACGATTATTTTTATGTTTAGCTCAGTTCGGTGGCCGTTCATCAGTGCCGTAGCAAGGTTAGATTTATTGGTGGGGGAGGGGGGAGCCAATTAGGAGTGCCGAAGGCACGAGCAGCTAGGGGGTTCCAGGGGCATGCTCCCTCGAAAGATTTTGAAATATAGGGTATTTGAAATAGCATTTTCAGCCTTCTGAGAGCAATAATTTCCAGGTCTCACCCATTTAAGAAGTGCACTTTGTTTAATACCAGCTTGATTTTTCTTTGTTGAAGCCATAAATGAATAATTTTCACGCTTTATTGAGCCGAAATGAACACATTGAACCGAAGAGCAGCGTGAAGAGCGTGGCTGCTGATTCTAATTTTTGCGGTTTTTCCAGCGATCCGCAAAAATAACCGCAAATAAAAATTACCCCAAACATTTTTCCCGCAAAAATTTACTCCAGAGTAAATATTCTCTAACTTAAATTCGCTACACAAAAATAAAGTACTAAGAAATCGTGTCTCTTCAATCAAAACGTGTCTCTTTCATTCAGAAACAACGAAATACAGTGAAACCTCCATTAAGCGGACCCCCAATAAGGCGGACACCCTCTATTAAGCGGACACTAAGCCAGGTCCCGAAATTGGGGTCTTATATTCCCTTTATAATGTATCCCTATTTAGCGGACACCTCTATTGAGCGGACGCGGACACTAAAATAAGGTGTATTTGGCAAATTCTATCGTTAAAAACCTCTATTAAGCGGACACCGGACTGAATTGACAATAGTAGTATTGGATTACGTCCTTGAAATACGGACTGAAGTCAGTTACAAACAAATTAAAGTTGGTAATGAAAGGTAATGAACTTGAACTCTGGATAGCTTGGGTACTGGGTACTTTCTAAAAATCGCAAAAGTTAATTCCCAGCAAGAAAAACCAATCTGACCTAATCGCAAAGATTAGTTCCCGAAAAACACAAAAAATCGCCAATCCGCAAAAAATAAACTCCCGCAAAAATTTCGTGCCACACGGTATATATAGCCCGCGCGCACATGTCTCCTATTTCCTTTGTTGCCCGCGGGCTACCTTACGTACAAATTTCTTCTTAAATAGCCGTATGTTGCTTAATGTAAAGTTTAATTCAAAACAATTTTTTTGTTTTTTTTGGATAGCAAAGTGAAACTTCTGCTTCCTCCTCAGGGACAAATATTGTCTGTATTCAGTAGCTGATCCAGGGGGTGAAGGGTAGGAGGGGTGCAAGACCCCCTATTGAAATATATCCGTCAGAAACGAGGGATTTTAGCTACCTGCATTGAAATTGTAATATCCCCGTAAATAAACGCTGAAGCGTTCCTTAAAACTTTCATATCGTAGCTAAAAAATGAAACTTGTGTTTCACGTTTCCTTTCTATGAGATTTCATCAATTAGATCAAATGTGTTCACAGTTATTTGATCATGCAGGGGACGATTGTTTTGAAAATCAGTGCTTTAAAAGTGAAATGGGTGTGTATCATGACGGTTTTATGGGTCTACCAAGCTGAAAGAGTGAATGTGTTACGTTGAAGAAGGATGGAAATTATTGGCTTCAACTGTGTGCACATGTTCAGTGGATCCCCCTGAACAAAAATACCTCGATCTACCTCTCTTATTTGTGAATATAACGTATCAAACATATTTTAAAATTTGTGACATTGTTTTCTAGTTATGTGAGTTTTTCTAGTTCAGTCACCTGATTTGCACAAAACTTAGAGGGTTGAAGCAAAATTTGACTGAGGGAAGTTTCTTTAAAATGTTACCTTATGAATAATAAGCTGTGAATTATCAACGAAAGCCTTTGAATTCTTAATAAAGATTTCTTCTCGCACACTCATGTATATCTCTCAAGTTCAGTAGAGAAAGAAGTATCTTTTTGCGTGATTGGCTTGTATGCACTAGAGCTGGGAATCAGCTGTTTTCTCAGTCGATGGTAGATCGTACGTATGGCTTTTCACCCTTCTCATAGTGCAAAATCATGGTTTACCATTTACATACGCAAAACAGCAGTCGGTTCATGATTTGGGTAAATGGTGAGAACAATTCAGGACTGGCAAATTTCATCCTGGAATCGCGTTTACCATATTGTACGAATCAGTTCCATTTAACGTTTTCGGCGTTACAATTGATAAAGATGTTACGTTTAAGCAACATGTGTCCTCTATATGTAAAAAGGTAAACAATCACGCGTTATGAAAAGGTTTGGCAAACTGATGTCTACTGAAACCATGCTCCGTCTTTATAAGGCATTTATACTTCCTCACTTTTATTATTGTTCTATGGTGTGGCATTTTAAACAAGATTCTGATAAACTGTACCTTTTAAACAAACGTATTCTTCGATTTATTTTCAAGGATTTTAACTCTGAGTACAATAATTTACTTACAAAGGTAGGAACTGCAAACCTTAAGGACAAGCGTTTACAAAACATGATTCTTACTATTTTTAAATGTCCTCATTTTTCTGATTATCCAAGATATTTAAAAGATATGTTTCGTTTACGCTCTAGCACCTATTTTTTAAGAGGACATAATATGGTCTGTTTGCCCAAACCATTGACCACTTCTTATGGTATCAATTCCTTTAGTTACTTGGCAGCAACATCTTGGAATTCTCTTCCTGACCATTACCGCACTTTTTCTGATTTTACTTCTTTTCGACGACTGAGATCTACTGGGAACAATAATTTACCTAAAAGGGCAGGAACTGCAAACCTTTCTACATCATGATAATTTGCAAGTTAGTTGTCTAGGTAGTTATCTTATTTGTTATATAGAATTAACTTTTTATTATAATTATTTATTAATGTAGTTGGCTCGAAGATATTAGCACTTGAGTGCTACACTGTAAATTCGAGGGTAAATAAAGTTTATTGATTGATTGATTGATTGATTGATTGATTGATTGACCAAAAAACTGCTTCGAAAACCTGAAACTGGTATCAAAGATGGCTTTGGTAAAGAAATAGAGCACGAATTCAGTTCCCTTTGAAACATGCCGTCTGGAAAAATATGAGAGCCCTAAGTACCTTTTCAGCGTTGCTCCCGGAAATTTTCCAATAAAACGATCTCAAAAGTTGTGTTCCATTTACCCTCCAACCGGTTTATCCATAAACTTTTTGTAAATTGTAAACAACCCATTACTCTGAAGTCGCAGCCGGTGGACACTGATCGCGAGGAGAAAAATGGGCATTGTGGCGACGCCGACTTTCTCAGTTGTAAGGTCTTCAACTGTTTTGCTTAGAGATTGTCTTAGTTGTCAAACTTGACATGTTCAAATGTAAGGCAACCGTTTCAGTGCAGAATAAACATAGTTAACCAGGATATGAAAGTACCGTACTTTTCTCGAATAATAGCCGGGGGCGATTATTTCTTTTTCCGCACAAAAAGGGGGCGATCATTCGAGGGAAGGCGATTATTTCAAATAGTGGTCACTGGAAGTCGTGCCCTAAATATATATTTTTTTAATTATGCCATTAAATCAAAAATTAATCACATCAAATTAACTGAACGTGGGATGGAACATAATTTAAAGTCTAATAACCATCTCCCACAGAGTCTGGTAGCCTGTGATAAATCAATCAGTTTTATGGCGCCAGAGCCCACTGCATTATCCACATGAATGTCAAAATTCCCCGATATCAGGAGCTATTCCTTGCGCAATACTGTAGACTCTAAATAATCAGCGAGCTCCGAGAACTGGAATATGCTGGTGGGCTCCCTGTGCATATCGGAATAAGGTGGTCGATAGAGTCCGGGTAGAACGCGGAGGTTATGAGAGGATGGCTGCTACACAATCCACTCAGAAAACTCAAAAGATTTTTTCTCGCCGGCACCGATCTCTTTCACATGAAGTGAGTCGCGATAAAGAAGAGCTGTTCCGCCCGCCACCAGTGCGGTCTGTGCGGTCAGTGCGTGGTTGGTCGTCAAGCTTGTAATTTATTAGGCACAACTCATTTCTTACTGTATCATCATTTGCATTTAGCCAAGTCTCTGTGATTGCAAGCAGATTTAATTTACACTCACAAACGAAGTCGAAAATGTCGGCTAATTTATTTATCAAAGATCGAGCGTTCATTAAGCAGAAAGACAACGAGCGTTTGAAATCCCTAACCAGAGGCAAGCGATTCACGAGAATTGGCTAGGTTGCATGAATTTCTTGATTGCATAGACGGAGGTGCTTCTTGAGTACCATGCGAACATAGCCTGTTGACAGACGTCCCCCTCGGGAAGGGGACGTCTAGGTCTGTACGCAGACTACAAAAGGCTATGCGAACAAAGAGTACGTAAACATAAGGGGCACCCAACGACCGTTTTCGGGGAAATATCTGTTCGGAGCCCTCTAGAATGGCTAAAACATACGTACGGACGATTTTCTCAGAACCAAAATTTCTTGGATGCCAGGAGCCAATCGGCTCCCTGGCTCCTATGGTGCTCCGCTGCGCGCGCGAGAGCTCCGCTACACCCTGCTATGAAAAAGACGCGTAAACCATATCAAAATCAATATCTCGGTACACTATACGAATCATATATTAAGTACCTACATTGAACTGTCCAACGCCCGCTGGTAGAAAAATATTAGGGTCTCATTTTTGTAAACATGGCAGACGAACAAGAATCAAATTTGCGCGTTTTGACCCTCAATTGCTGGTAATGTGGATTGATTGTCGTAACTTTCTTTTAATCAGTGCTTCTTTAATCAAAAAATCCAGTGCTATTTATTTAATTTTTCACTGTTTTTCGTACGTTTGGAGTTGAGTCAATTCAGGTCTATGAAAGTTGCCTGTGGAAATGCTTTTTATAGGGTCGTTTCATTTTTCCGCACCCCACCTCAGAAATACGACGCCTCAGTTTTTTATCGTCTCCCGTTGAAGAATGAAATTCGAAGGGTTGATTGTTTGACCAGAATTGTTGCTACTCTATTTGAGACGCTTTTAAATGCATGTGAGGTATGACCCGCGGGTGTATATCAAAATTACTTTAACTCTGACTTTTAAACAGGGTGGCGGGGGGCTAATAAAATTATGTTATTACGTCCCATGCGTACCAAAAGAATTTCATCCTAAGTGGTCATGATTGTTTAAGTCTAATAAAAGAATAATTTTGTAAACACAAGCATCAAAGTCTATTTTACACTTTAAGAAACTCCATAAAATTTCAGTTTGGTACTAAAACCTTTGAAATTGCATGGTTTAATTGCTTTTAGTTGCAGTCTATTTATACCTGTAATTGTTGATTTTCCATACATCCCATCTTTTTACTTTTTGATTGATTTCTGGAAAAGGAAATATTATGGTCACTTTAATTCCATTTGTTTACTTATGAGAGCTATCTGTTATTAATTGGTGTGCTGCATTACTAGGGGTATTCCTTATGTGTCAAAGATGTGGGCAGAGCGTAAACTTCTCATTTCTGAGGAACTAGCAAAAGGTCATTTTGACATTGTTTCACTTCAAGAGGTATAATTCAATTTAATTTCATTTGCTGGTTTTTGCTTTAGTAGGCATCATCAATTTTGTAATATGCAGTAATACCTGTTTGCAAGGAATGAAATGTTTTTTACATTTAAGGCAGTTTGTGTTTTTTTTTTCAGAAGATAATTATGATCTGACCAACCTCTCTCCCTCCTAGAAATTTAAGGGGAGGTTGATACCAACCATTAAAAACTTTGGTCTCAAGTACCCCTGCTTCCTCCCTCAAAATTTCCAGTGACCGTCAGTGGGGTGTGTATGGATAAATTCTGAAACAACAGTTTTCCAATTTTGATGTTGCAGATTTGGAGTAGAAGTGATTTTGAATTGATAAGTGACAAGGTTGAAGATGTTCTTCCGTACTCACATTACTTCTACAGGTGCTGTCAAAGTTTAAGTATCTCTTTTTCCTGAGTTTTACCCTAAAGGATGTTTGCATCCATCATAGTTCTTGTGGCAATTTTAGGCCATGACAGTTTAAGTCATTATTGAGTTATTTGTGCTTGTTTTTACAATGGTGTTACTTTATTCATTGTAAAAGTGAGCCGTTATATATTTTGGTTACAGTTGAACCTCCATTGAGCAGTCATCCTCAGGATACTGGCACGTTCCTTCTTAATAGAGGTTGGCTGCTCAATAGAGGTTTCTCATAAATTAGCATAATCTTTTGTAGAAACATTACTTTATTTTGCAACAGACGCAGCACGGGATTGCTACTACTGGACCAGAATCAGTCATCCTCTTCTTTCTCAACTGTGTTTTCCTTTTTCATTATTTTTTAAAATAAATTAGAGTCAAACTAAGTATATCAAGTGTATAATGTCGTGTATAATGGGACTTTGATTATTGGCTGCACAACAGAGAGTGGAAGCTTATTAGGGAGCTGTTAAATGGACGTCCATCTGTATTATCCCCCCCGTATCAAGATCTATAATTAACAGCAACAACTGCTTGAAACACAATTTTCTTTAAAGTTTCTGCACCATTTATTTATTGGTCTTATTGGCAGGTGTGCAGCCGGTGTGAGTGAAGGTTTGGTCATGTGAACCCTAATACTTATTCTAACTCCTTTAGCCTCTGATTTCTGCACCTGTAAATTTAACCCAGCATTCAGTATGATTACATTTTTCTTGGTTTCTTTTGGTTGGTTCTTAGTTTAATACTAGTAGTAGGTAGATGACCAGTTTTTGCTTCATTGTCCCTGCTTTATAATGTTTTGAAATTTTAACTTTATAGCCTTTATACAGGCTCTCCTTCTCACCAGTGCAGTAGCTGACTTGTTTTGGGGCTAATATCTTCAACATTATTTTGTTGCTATATATGACAAATAAATAGACCTTTTTACTGATACAGTGGCCATATTGAATTCATTAGATTTAAGGAGTATTATGGGATGCCCAGGGGGCACTCGTTCAGTATTTATGCAAGCTTTCTGGGCAAAAAAAACTTCACTGTTTTTTCTTGGGAAAAAGGCGATCATTATTACACCCAAACACGGCGCAACGATCTTTTTTCTCATTACAATCTTTTTCTGGGAAAACTCAAAGAAAAATTGGCCCAACAGGCGCATATGAATACTGAGCAAGTATATCGGATCACGGTCATGCCCCCTGGGCATCCTATAATACTCCTTAATTCTAATTAATTCAGTATGGCCACCATATTGGTAAAAAGGTCTGTTAAATCTATTTCTTAGTAAATCAGTCTCTCTAAACTTTTTTCTTTCAGTGGGGTGATTGGCAGTGGAGTTTGTGTGTTCTCACGGTATCCTATCATCGATGCATTCATTTATCGTTATTCATTAAATGGCTACATGTATAATATCACTCATGGAGATTGGTTTGGAGGCAAAGCTGTTGGCTACTGTCTGATTGATCATCCTAAGCAGCCAATTCATTTCTTTGCTTCGCATGTAAGTTTGTGCACTTATCAGCTGTGTCTGAGGTTTAACCAAAGTAAATTAAACAATATCTCGTAAATAAAAACATCCCTTTCTTTTTAAACGATAATATGTATTTAACAAAAAAAATCTACACCAAAGTCATCTGTTTTCCCTTCTATACACTAAATGTAGTTTGTTAAGCTGTCTTAGCAAAGTAAGACTGCTGAATGAATCAATGAACAGGCAGTGAAAAGAAAAGATAGAATGAAAATAAACTACATGTAAAATGAGAAGGAGGCTGAGGAGGAAACTGAAAAAACAGTTGA